TTCATATTCAAGAAATTATTTAAATAATGGAATAAAAATTTGACTTTTTGCAAAGCCCTGCTCTAATTGGAATCCAAAAAATAAGAGCATTGGAGAAAGTTGACAATTTAGGATGTAATTAAATATAATATTCTTATGACTGTTTGATGATGAAGAAATTCAATGTTTTTTGGCTAGTTGGAACTAATATGACCTTATAAGAACAATTCCTACCATTGGCCCATCAGGCTTAGAATCCAACGTGATTGTTCAATAAAATTTGACGAATGTTTACAAATCAAACGGCAAGATGGAGATTTTATACAACAATTTAATTCATCTTTCTTGTCTTTAAAATGCGGATTATTCTTTTGTTTGAAAGAGATTAAGAGTTTGATGTGTGGTTAATTAGTTGATGATTGTGGGGTGTGTGCAATGTGAGGTGTGGGGTGTATAAGATATGAGGTGTGAGGGTAGGATTGGGAATTACGTGGGGTGTGTTAAGAAAAATTTTAATTTAAAAAATAAGTGTAGGGTTTATGAAGTATTTGAGATGTAGTCAATAAATGTGTGTGTTAATAAAACTAGCTTTTTAGACTTTCTCCAAACTTGGGCTATTTGCTAAATTTCTCCCTGAAATTTCCCCCAAAACACCACCCAACCCAAGCTAAAACATTCGGCTAAAAGCCAAAAACTAAAGCTGGGCCAAATTGCCCCCAAACACGAGTGGACTCGCTGCAAATTGGGCCAGTCTCGGCCCGCCCCACTCGCGGACACGACCCACGCGGCCTGCTTGCAATCACGTCCTGACAACATAAGGGCCTACTACCAGGGCCATGTCGACCACTTCCTCGAGCCCAACGGCTCTTTTTTGCATCCGACGACCATCATTTAAGGACCGTTGGTTGATCCAACGGTCCAGATTCAAATTTCATTTTTTTAAAATATGTTATTTTAAAATACATTGAATCCAACGGCTAAGATCGAATATAATCAAATCTAACGGTAAAAAAAAAGATCTAACGGCCCAAATTTAAATTCAACAGCTAAAATAATTAAAAAAATTATTTAACTCAAAATTTACCCAAAAACTCTATAAATACCTATGTATTTGTTCAAACATCCACACAAACCTCAATTTTCTCGTACAATTCTTCTAATTTATCTTTCTACCATTTCTTTCCATTTCCAATTGTTCAACATGGCAAGAGAGCATATTAGAGGTCGTAATTGGACTTATGAGGAAGATGTTGCTTTGGCATGGGTTTCTGTTAGCGAAAATGGTGCAGTTGGCACAAATCAAAATAAAAAGGTTTTGTGGGATAAAATCATTGCAAAGTATCAAGAAAACTGCAATGACGGCGAGCGGGACGGTGGTGGTGTTTATGATCGGTGGAAGACTATCAACAAAGCATGCACTTAATGGAAGGGAAACTTGGAGAGAGTCGTGGTTGGCATGCCTAGTGGAAGGAGCGCCATATAAATTGTGAGTTTTTTTCTTGATATTTTATTTGTCATGTACGTAATATTATTTTGCAACTAATTATTTTTATGTATTTTTTGCATAGGGTGACAAAGCAATTGAAATTTACAAGACGAGTAACACCAAAAAATCAAGTTTTTAAATTGCAACATGCTTGGGACGTCCTCAAGGATTGTCCAAGGTGGGCAACTGATGCGGACCAACAATGGGGAAGATTATTTCAACGTGAAGATGCACCGAGAAATACCAGAGATGAAGGTGTCGATGAAATGACCCCATCTCCTTCTTTAGCAAGGCCCCCGAGAAGAGATAAGCAAAAGAAAGCAAAGAGAAGGGAAGTCCCAAGATCCGATGAATGGACACTTTGCTACCGGAATTGCAAAATTGAACGAAACCCATAGCGCTTGCCAAGAAGAAGCGGCCCGAATGAATTTGCAACCGAAGGAAGAAGGGGATAGAGAGCAAGATAGGTTTGAAATTAATTTGACGATGGAGGACCTCGACAAATACACTCCAGAGAGGAAGAAGTTCTTATGTGGTAAGCAAAAGGAAATTTTGCGAAAGTATGCCACAAGGAGTTTAGTTGTGACATCTCATCCCGAAATATAATCTATTTTATGCCCAAAGGTGTGAAAATGATGATTTTGCCCTTTAATCGTTGAGTTGTGTTGTGTGGTTTAAGCTTTGGATTTGGACCAATCCTTTTTATTCCTAAGCATTTGAAACTTAAGATTTTTGTTAGTTTTGTTTGGTGACAAAGCCTGGACCATACACACACTCGTTGACTCTCTCTCTCCCCTCTTTCTTGAATTTTTCCATTCATTCGTACACTCGTACGGTCATCTCCTCAACTCTCGTCATCTCTCACGGATCGAGTTGTTTAAGATCACCATCATACTCCTCATGACTTCACGAGTTCAGTGGTATCTTTGGGACAACGAACGGTTCACGGGAATGCGAGATACCTGAGCTCCGATAAGATACACTGTTATGTTTTTTGTGATCATGGTAATTTCACTGAGATTTAAGGCTTAAGGGAGTCTTAAAACAACTTTGCAGGGGCCTTATGACAATTTTGAAGGGTTTCGGACGTTGGAAAGTCCAAGTTCTTGGAGTTTCAAAGATGGTCGGAGTATCGAAGTTTTCCCGGCGAGTTTTAGGACCTAAAAGAAGTAAGAACTTGTTCTTCTCCTTCAGGGCTTTAATTTGGTTTAAGAATTGTGAATTTTGGTTGAAAAACGAAGGAGAAATTAAGAAATATCAGTTTTCCAAAAACCGACGATCGTAGCGGTGCCGGCGTAGGACTCCGCCAAACTAAGGAAGAAGAAGGAGAATATTCCGTCAAAGTTGATGGAATGTGCTAACAGCATCAGGTATATTTAACGGTATATTCTAATATTTAATAGAATATTCCCTAACATCGTTAGGGAATCATTCAGTGTGTCACGCACGTGCCTGCGAGTGGGCGGCGCGTGTGGCCGTGCCTTGGCCGGCGCGTAGGTCATCGGAAATTTCTAAAAATATGGGGATGTTCGTGTGGTTGAGTAGATCACGTTGGTATATTCAAACACCCCAATTGAGCAATGTATGAGAAGTTATTACCAAGTTTTGAGTATGTGCTTAAAATAACGTTAAAATAGTTGTTTCGCATATAGGTGAGACATTTCCAAAGGACGAGCGCAGTCAAGCGGGACTCGGGGGCTACGACCCTTCTTCATATATGTGAGTGGGTCTTTTCCTTTCTATCGTGTGTGTGTGTGTGTGTGTGTGTATATTATATATGATTGATAATTCCACAAACGTTTATAAATTGATTATTGCTTATGATTACTGTGAATGCTTTGAAGTAATTATTATTGAACTACAAATGGCTTGATCCCGTTTGAGGGTATGTAGGCCATCTAACAAGACAGTTAGATGCAACCATAAAATAACCTGAATTTAACATGGTACTTGATTTCTTTAAGGAAAGAAGTTATGATGGTTAATAGCTTAGAGATTAACCGTGATTTTATTTTGGCCTATTACCGAGTTTAGTTCCTATTCAGAATTTTGGGACATTAAAGTAGTTGTGCCAAATGACGCTGCGGGCGCCCAGGTAAGCTTTAGGTGAGTACATGTTAATGATAATGATTGCAGTGGGTATGGTTATGTTGAGATGTAATTATAGCTCATTATCCTACACCTTGGTGTTAGCACTCCGCCCGAGGACAAGGCCTAGCCTTCACGTGATCATTCAGCTCCTGCACCACACGCTCACCTTGGATCCAAGGTAGGTGCCAGCTTGTCGTACAGACCACTTTAGGTGGTTCTGACTCATAGGTGACTTGCAATACTTCGCACAGCCTTCACGTGATCGTAGCACTTGAGCGTATTTATTTACACCCAGCCTGTCGTACATACCACTTTAGGTGGTTCCGACTCGTGTGTAGGAATTGGTAGATGAGCTATATAGGTGACTCCGACTTATGTGCTAGCATTGATTGATGAGATATGGATAAGTCGTACAGGTTGCTATAGGTGACTCTGACTTATGTGCTAGCATTGATTGATGAGATATGGATAAGTCATATAGGTCACTATAGGTGACTCCGACTTTTGTACTAGTATGGGTTATTAAGCACATGATTATTTATATTGTTAATGAGATGCTGGGTAGTGGTATACTTCTGGATTTACTGTTAATATACATTTGATTTCATACTTCTACGTAGTATAATTTTCTGGAGACTATACAGGTTTTACGGCGAGGGGTTACTACCTTTGATAATTGAAATGATTTTGAAAATCTTTGTTTACCCATTGACACTTTCTATTTTGCACCCTTCCAGGTTCTATTAGCAAAATTCTGTATCGACGAGGACTTGTGGCACTCCCACTTCAAGTGGCTCCTTATGATGGTATAATTATTATCTTACCTCACTATACTTTTCTTATGCTCTGCATCACGTGTGAAATGGGTCCATACCCGCTCACCGCGCACTAGTTTATTGAGGCACCTTTAGGTTTAAATTTATTCATAGTTTACGCATTATCACACTTTATGGATTCGTCACCTTCCAGATGTCGGCCAGCACAACTCAATTCGGAGTCCTAACGAACATTCCGGGTCGGGGTGTGTCAATTTATTTCAAGATGATGAATCCTCTTAACCCTATATTCCAAGTCAACCACAAAGTCCATGACCAAGTGAAAATGGTGGATATGATTATTAAGTTTATGTAGTGTATGAATTATGTGTTTTATTAATTAAGTTTATTAATTGTCGTTTGTATTAAGTTTATGTGGTTTATGTACTTTATTAAATTTATATCTTATTAATTATTGTTTCTATTAATCTAGATGCCTTCAATAATTATTGTACTTATTATTCCATACTTTGATGTAGATTAGACGCCTTCAATAATTCAACCTCCATTCAATAATTTATCCAACATAGTAGACAAAATACTTTGCACAAGAAGACACTTAAATTTATTACTAGAAAATAACAACATAGTACATTTAAAATTATTACATAAATGCTCAACCAACATCATCAATGTTCACCTTCTCGGTGCCATACATGCTCAACCAAATCCTTGCAGAGTGTGTCATGACCTTGAGGAGCTTGAATTCGATTTAAAGGTCTCATATACTCACTCAGGGTGACCCTATCCTGTTGGGTCTCATATGTGGTTGGAGCGAGATATTCAACATCTCTTACAATAGCTCTCGCATGTGTTGGTTGGTCATCATCCACATCTTCGTCTGAATCTTCTTCAATTTTGCTGTACTCATCTTCCACAATCATATTGTGCAAAATTATGCACGTCATTATGATTGAATGGAGGTCTTTGGTTTGCCAAAATTGTGCAGGCCCTCTAACAATGGCCCATCGAGTCCCGAACGTTCTCTCCACATCTTTCCTGTAAGACTTTTGCCTCTGCGAAAATAATTTCTTCTTTGCACTATCGGGATGAGAAAAACTTTTGATAAAGGTAGACCAACTAGGATAAATACCATCAATTAGGTAGTAACCTAGCTCATACCTATTACCATTTACCTTGTACTGAAATTCTAGTGCCCATCCATTCACAACATCATCGAACATAGGAGAAGACCAAAGAACGTTGATATCATTGTTTGATCTGGGAGTGCCAAAGAATGCATGCCAAGTCCATGTGTCGTAGATTTTGATCCGAGAGTACCGAAGAATGCATGCCAAGTCCATGTGTTGTAGACACCACAGCCTCCAGCACGATGGTTGGCTTGTTATGATGGCCCTTGAATTGGTCAGCCCAACCAGTAGAACAATTCTTCCACTCCTAATGCATACAATCGAGACTTCTTATCATGTTAGGGAAGCCTCTTTTGTTTGCCTTACGTAGAAGCCTTTTCAAGTCTTCACAATTTGGCTTGCGGAGGTATGTAGCTCCATATATGGCTTGAATTACCTGACAGAAGTGCTTCAGGTTCTCAATAGCAGTACTCTCCGCAAGTCGGCAATACTCATCAGTTGAGTCAGCATAGCACCCATTAGCTAGCATCCGAAATGCATATGTGAGCTTCTGATGAGGTGATAGACTTTGTCGGCCGACAACATCTATCTTCCTTGCAAAGTAGTGATCATGGATTAAAATATCGATATTATCGGCGAAATATCGCCGATAATATCGTTTTGGTGAGATAACGATATTTTTATACTTATCCATTTACTTATCGTCAAAATATCGCGATATTGTCGATATTATCGATAATATCGACAATATCGCTTCTTCCTCTTCCGGATCGCTCAACTTCTCGCCGTTGTTTCCCGCCTGGGTTTGCTGCTGATGCTGTGGGTGCACTGAGGACGCGTAGGACGCGCTGTAGCACCCGAGATCCTGCATCCCATTGACCCCCGACGAAGCGCCGTTGCCGCCATTGACTCTCCACCTCCGTTCTTCCGTGGCCGCACGATTTGGATCTGAACATAGGCGAAGCTACATCGCCCATCCCCTCGCCGGAAATGAAGCCCAGGCGCGATTGTCCGCCCTCTGCCCAAGTCGGAAACCTGCAAGTCGTGATTCGTGAAGCCCCTCCTGCTGCTGCGCGCTGCTGTGTTTTTGAGAGGTGTGGAGGTGTGGCTTTGAGAGGCGCAAAGTAAACCTTCGCGTGAACAGAGTAGAGTAGAGAGAGGAACAAGAAACGGACGGACGAGAGGAACAAGAAACGGACGGACGAGATAAACAATTTGCAGAGTATATATATTACAGAGTCGAGAGAGGAAGAAGAAAAGTGTTTGGCTATAATTACTAAGTGTGTAGAGAGAACACGTGGCCTGTTTCAAGCCACTCCCATGTCTCACTTCTGAGGATACGTGGCTTGCTTTAAGTCACTCTTCTCTCTCTCACTTTTGAGGATTTGAATTCTCATTCAATCCAGTTTGAACCAGACCCGTGACCAACACAGTCACTCAAGGGTCGGTATAATGTGGATGTATTTGTTACATAAGTGATAAGTCATAATGAAGGAAATGGACTCAAACTTGGTAATTGCCAAAATTCTTGTTTTGTCAAACTTATTTAGAAATTCAGGTTTAATTTCACGTACCTTGTTTTCCTTGCTTGGATCATTAAGAAATAATCTTGGACATATAAACACATAAGATTTAGGATCATTTGTTAGTGTGTTCCTAAAAAGTGTAAAATATTGTATAATATTGTACTAATTCATTATATATAAATGATTATGGTGTGTTTAAACTTCTTTCATTAATTAATACATATTTTCTACACTCACAATATTTGCCAGCTCGCTATATAATCAACTTAAATCAGTTAAATCCATCATGCAATGTATTTCCTTCCAATTTTTTGTGATAAACTAATAGATAATTGACTAAATAAACATCCTGCAAGGTTTCAATAAAAATTTCCAAGTTTTTCTTACAATTTCCATGGTTTCCATGTAATTTTTATCGATATCGATATTATCCCGATATTTCCATCGATATTTCCGTGTTTTCGGACTACCGATATTTCCGATATTACCGATATTTTCTTCCTTACTAGTGATCATGATTGACAACTGCATTCAAGATGCTTTCAAAAAGCTTTCTCCTCATCCGAAATCGCCTCCGAAAATCATGAGCAGGAAATCTCGGCCGCTCGATGAAATAATCTTTCATCATTTGGTCATGACACTCTTCTCTATCATGTTGCACGAATGAACGCCTCGTAACAGAACCACGATGGCTAGATTCACCATGGTGCTTATATTGCATAAACGAGTTTACAAGTTCAGCTTCGGCGTTGATCAGTTCTGCATCCTCAATGTCAAGTCTTGCTTGGTATTGTGCCATCGGCATTGCCCTGCTATGCCTTCTTCTATCACCCATTGATGAAATATTGAGGATTTTTAGGAAACAAAAACTCTTTGAAAGTTGAAAGATTGGTGAATATAAAGGATGATTGAAGGTTGAAAGATTGTGTGATCAACTAATATTAGACCTGTGTTTATATAGAGGATGATTGATGAACGGTTGGTGAAAGTTAAAAGTTTGGTGAAAGTTGAACGGTTGGTAAAAGTTGAAAGATTGGTGAAAGTTGAAGGCTTGCTTTGTGAAAAATTTAGTGATTTTTCAATATTTATCATAATTTAATTTTTTTTAGATTAAAATGTTCATAAAATTAATTTACGATAGTCTACATATTTATTTTTTTTTTAAATTGATTCCGGATTAAAATTTTAGACCAGAAATGTTAGAGCAGAAAAACTGTTTTTGGACTAAAACCAAATTTTTCAGGCTAGCCCAAGGATTAGAGATGATTTTAGAGGTGATCACAGTATATTAAGGAAACAAACAAACAAACAAAATCCCCCAAATCTACTTTATACACTATTATAATAAGTCCATTCAACGATTTCAACTCCACCGTACATATACATGTTTTTATGACGAAAACGCCCTTCTCGTTTTTTTTGGTTTTTGGTTTTTTTTTGATGGTTTTTGTAGTTTTTGCCCCTTCCTCATCACTTCCTCACTGGCCGCCCCGGTCCATTAACGCGTTCACGCGGATATGCCTGTCGGTGTCGTGTTATCAATGTGGTGACCACTATATATATCCCTCCATCACCTTCCGACTAATAGCAGGTGCAGATATTTTAATATCCCAAAACAAATAAAATCTTCACTTGTTTACCTTTTTTCTTCGATCTCCTTCTCGAAAGCCCTCTCTTTCTTTTTGCATATCAAAATCAAAAACCCAAATTTTCAGAACCAATCCAACTGAAAAACGGGTTCCAAATTTTGTCAATTGTGGGTCTTGGAGAAACAAAGAAAAAGAGATATCAGAGAGGAACCCTGAAGAAAAAAGGTCAGAAATTTTACAAGATATGCCGTCTGCATTGGAGGATGAGTTGTTCCCGTCGACGCCCGGAAAGTTCAAAATCGAGCGCAGCCACGCCATGAACCGCCAGTTCCACCGCTGTTTCGCCTCCACAAGCACCATGTTCTTGTGGGCCTTATTTCTTATCGCCCTGACGGCGTCCTATTTGAGTTTTCAGAGCTTCGTCGACTCCGGCAGCCGCTACTTCTCCGCCTCCTGGGGCGGCATCCAGTGGGAGAAGCAGGTCCGCAACTCCGCCCAGATCCACCGCTCCGGCGGCATGTCCGTCCTCGTCACCGGCGCAGCCGGTTTCGTCGGAACCCACGTCTCCCTGGGCCTCAAAAAGCGCGGAGACGGAGTCGTCGGAATTGACAACTTCAACAGCTACTACGACCCGTCGCTGAAGAAGGCTCGCCGGTCACTCCTCAAGACCCACGGCGTTTTCATCGTCGAGGGCGACATAAACGACAATCGCCTTCTGGACAAGCTATTCGATACAGTGGCGTTCACCCATGTGATGCATTTGGCGGCTCAGGCCGGCGTCCGGTACGCCATGGAGAACCCCCATTCTTACGTCCACAGCAACATCGCCGGCCTCGTGACGCTTCTCGAAGTCTGCAAATCGGCCAATCCTCAGCCGTCCATTGTTTGGGCCTCGTCCAGCTCTGTCTACGGCCTGAACGACAACGTCCCATTCTCCGAATCAGACCGGACTGACCAGCCGGCTAGCCTCTACGCCGCCACCAAGAAAGCCGGCGAAGAAATTACCCACACTTACAACCATATTTATGGCCTGTCAATTACCGGGTTAAGATTTTTCACTGTGTACGGACCGTGGGGCCGACCCGACATGGCATATTTCTCTTTCACCCGCAACATCCTCCAGGGGAAGCCCATCACCATTTACAGGGGCAAGAACCGGGTGGACTTGGCCCGGGATTTCACGTATATTGACGACATCGTGAAGGGTTGTTTGGGGTCATTGGATACGTCCGGAAAGAGTACCGGGTCGGGTGGGAAGAAGCGGGGAGCGGCGCCGTACCGGATCTTTAATTTGGGGAACACATCACCGGTGACAGTGCCCACACTCGTCAACATCTTGGAGCGGCATTTGAGGACGAAGGCGAAGAAAAATGTAGTGGAGATGCCTGGAAACGGCGACGTTCCGTTCACACACGCGAATATAAGCTTGGCCCGAAGAGAACTCGGGTATAAGCCCACAACCGATTTGCAAACCGGGTTGAAGAAGTTTGTTAGGTGGTACCTTTCGTATTACGGCTACAATCACGGCAAGCCTGTAAATTAATATTTCTTTCTTTTTTTGACCTTTTTAATTTTGTAGGATTTTCTTTCCCCAACTACAAAAGGGATAAACCTTGGGAAAAAAAATCCTGCGGCAAGAAAATGAAAAGGCACATTTTTTAACGTTTTCTCCTCGGCAACGCTTCTCTTTTTGTATTTTTGTTTGTAAAGGAAAAGTTGAGGTTTGTTTTGGGCCTCGTACTTGCTTTTGATTGACAAGAGTTTATTTTTAATTTGAATGATATTGTAATTGTTAGGATCCAATACTTGTTTCCCTTGAACACTTTGACAATCTGTTTGAAATTATGAAATGGAGAATTCTAACTCGAATCTAGAGGTTAAACATATTCGTGAGATCTAACTTGATTACGTTCAAATCTGCTCAATTGACAATGACGCTGCACGATTGATATTGTGTATGCCTTTGTTGAGTTCACATCTTAAGACTCGTTTGGAAAGAAATATTTTTCTCTACTTACTCCGTACTGTAATAATTTTTTTATGTCCATATATATTACGGAACGTGATGTATCGTGGAATCTCATATTTTATGGAGAAA